TTTGTAGCTAGTTAGACTTAAGCATGCATATGGCCCATAAGGAAGGGGTTTCAGGAGCTGTGAAAAAAGGACCTTTAAGAATGCAAAGACCATGCCTTGCAAGAAAGAACCTTTGGAAAAAGAATCAGCATAAAATAAATAACAAATGACAGAACAAATATCTTAATTTTCTCCTCATACATGGCATTGCCAATGCCTAGTGCTAGTCGAAAACTACATATAGATAAGGAATGGCATAACAAATATGTTAATCTTCTCGTCCTATATGGCATTGCTAAGTCTTAGTTGGGAACTAAATATAGATAAGATCAAGAGGAAATAAAGTAATATTCTCAGGAAAAAGAATCACCAGTCAATTAACATGGAATTAATGGCATTACTGATATTACAATTTCCTCATCCACATGGTATTGCCAAGCAGTAGCAGGGAACTACATACAGATAAGGTCCAGGGGACATAAAGGTTCATTTGCAGTCTTCTAGAGATCAGAACAACAAATCAGCAGCCAAAATAATGAAATAAAGGAGTTCATTTTTTGCATAACTACTTCCATTTAAAAATAAAAAATAAAAATTTATCACTCTGTTCCCTGAGATCCAATATAATAACTCCTTATCTGTACTGGGAGAGTTCAAAAATAAATATGGAGAACTTACAAGATATATGCCAGTCTAGGAATGTACAAACAATGTGTGTTTATATCCTGTAGGAGAAAATAAGAAGAGAATACAAATAAAGAGAAAGGAGATCTAACCTGGAAAACAATAGGCTTATTTAAATCTACAGTAAAGGGCTTAGTGACCATCTTGGCAGCTTCTGACTGACACTACTGAACCATTGAACAAAATAAAAGTCAAAATAGGAAAAAATAAGAAAATAATTACAGGGTTAATAGTGTTAAGTAGAAACGATAAAGGGCCAAGAAGAACTTCAAACATAATTCAAGGAGAGGCAAACACAAAGATCTAAAACAAATAATATGGATAAGAAATAACATTTTCATCATTTGACAGAGAAAGGCCTTTTAAAACTGGTAATATTTTTGTTTTGGGGTTGTGGAGGATGGAGCTTTACTCTTTTATAGCCATGATGTTTTATCCACAATTAAAAGCATCAAAATTAATTATGTCTATGAAACAAAGATCAGTTCTGAAACTACTTAGAGCAAACATCTTCCCCTATTATTTGAATGCTAAAATATTTCACAAGTTTTCAGCCTTCTACAAGTAAAATCATCCAAAAAAATCTCTTCTCATTTTTCCAATTATTTCCCTTTCTCTCACCTTTTTCCTTCCCATTACCATTCCCATTCTATCTATTTCTCCCTCTTTATTCTTCTCTACTGTTCTGCCTCACATTATCATATGGTCGGTTTTATTAATAAAGAAATTCTTACTCAAGCCAATTTACAATAAAGACCTGATACAATATTAGGATAACGCAACAATGTTACACCATAGCCCATTTGATATGAAAAGATTAGTTCTTCTGTTTCTCCAGAAGGGCTGCCAGGACATGGAAAAGACTCAAACCGCAGGCTAACTTTTAAATAAAATATTTTAATGTAATTTTAAACAAGGAATTGAAAAAAAAAAAAAAAAGGAGCTTCCAAAAGCAGTGGAAAAGTTTCAATGAGATTGTAAGACACCTAAATTGGGTTATTCAAACTCCTTTTCTCCCTTCCTTTAATCTTATCATGCATTCAGTGGAACATTGATTCTAGAAGCATCTAAACTTATAACATAACACATATAGAATGCTTAGCAGGTGTTTGTAGAAATGACTGAATCAATTAACCGAACAACAGGAAAAATAGCCGCAAACTTAGAGCATCCAGTATATTACAAAAGCATTCAAATCATGTCCACAAATTAAAGGAACATGCAGAAACCAAGCTCAAATTAGGAATTATAAACACAAACTCCATACTCCAAATCTCTATCCACTTTTAATTTGCAAATCCATAACTGGGTACACATTCAAATTGCATTGTCACATAATTTGTATGTAAAAACAGAAGAAAATGCATATGAAAGAGCAAGAAAAATAACAAAACCGAAATACCCACAACAATATTTCACTCCCAAACTCAAGGGAATAATCTATGATTCAATCTCAAATAGTTAACAAAACTTTCACATTGCAAAAAAAAAAAAAAGCTGAGGTACATTTCAACATAAAAGATAAACATTTTGCCATTTCTTTGCGCCAATCTAAATCGATCAAACAGAAAATCAATTCGATTTAAGGGAAAAGAAGAAAACCCAGAAAGAATAATGCGAGACCCACCTGCGAGCTCCTGAGAGGTGGAGGCCCTGCAGATTTTCAAAATATTTCTGCCTTTCTTTTGTTCGGGCAATGTCTCCGTCTCCTGCTTTATTAAGAATTTAAAATTTAGACGCGCAGAGATCTCATCGAAATGATTGCCACACCTCCCATTCTATACAACCGTTTTCAAGGGCGCTAAATATTTCCCGCAAATTTTGTGGAATGAATACTTAGTTATAAAATACACATACTGTTTTAAACAATTAAAAAAATACTTAATTATAAAATACAAATTTTATGATTAAAGAATATCCCATATACTCTATTTGTGGATATTTTTAAATTATTTTATAATTAAATTTCCAACATTAACTTTGTTTCAAGTGAGTACGTAGGCAATGTCAATGGTAGCCCTGCTTATTTGTTGTAATTAAGTGTATTTAAAATTCGTAATTAAGTGAACTAACAGTTAAGAGTTTGAAATTTTACATTAAAAATTTTAAGTTTGAGGAGAAATTTAAAAATAAAGAGGGTTATTTTCTCTTATATATATATATTTTTTTGAACAGTTTTGTCATGGGACGGGTTTGAAACCCGCCCAAGGGAGGGAGATGTGCACATTTCAGTGGCTTTAGCCACTGGACCAAGTGCGTTATCTTCTCTTATATAATTTATAATAAGATGTAAAAAAAAATATTAAGTATATTTGATTTAAAAAAAATCAAATGAGACGGGAAGGGAGAAAATGGAAGGAAGGATGCGACATCCTTTCGTTTTTAATAGAATAGAAACTATAGAATACATAGTTTAACCAATGGAAAAAGAAGGTGGGGTGGGAAAGTAGATAGGTTAGAATTCTCATCAATATGTGAGAAAATTTTTTATATTTAGATATTTAGTTAGTGAACCCAAAAGCCTTCCTAGTAAATATTTGCTCCAACATATCTGTTTGCTCTAACTGTACATATTTTTTAATTATTTATAATTAAGTCTTCAACATTAATTTTGCTTCAAGTGGGTACCTGGCCAATGTCCAGTAGCCTTGCTTATTTGTTGCAATTAAATTCCTTTCTTAACTAATATATGGGATAAATTGCATCGTTCTTCCATAAATATTCAATGACTTTTTGATTTATATGAATATCTACCCTCTTTATTAGTTTCAATTAAATCACTTTGTTAATTTCCTTTTGTCTAATACCATATAATTGTGATGTCCATGTTGCACTACAATGGTCCTATTCAAGAATTTGTTGGGAGTAAATTATGAACCCTTGTTTAAAATAATTTAGAAAGTGTTAAAGGGTGGATTTGTTAGGGGTCATTGACTTGCCAAATTCTAATCTTAACTTAAGAAGCCCCTATTCTGATGGAAATTAATCTTTCAATGTGGACATTGGGCTTGAGAATCTATTAATAGGGTTGCAATTGTATTGAATTGAGTTCAACACTAAATGGTCCAAGTTTAACCTAATTAAAATATGAAAGGTTCGAATTTAAATTTGATTTGAACTTTCCTTCTAAACTCAACTACTCAAGTTCTATATTCAATGCAATATTTAAGTTTGAGTGTGAGGAATGAAAAAGAACCTTTAAATTTGTTAATTACTTATTTCATTTGTTTTAATTTAAAGCTCAATTTAAAATAAATCAAAGTTGACCCACCATTTTTGGAGCAATAAGCATGATTCATGGCAATGACGGCATGATCTAAATAAGAAGAAGAATGACGTGGTGATGGAGAAAAGAAAGGCAAACGTGGCATGCAACTCGAGATGTGCCTTGTTTGAGAAAGTTGAGGAGAACATGTTCTTAATTGAGAAAGATGGACGTTACTGTCGTTGATTGCGAATTGGCGTATAGTTTCGTGTCCTTATTATACTTTTGCCAATCTATTTACGGGTAGCCAACTTCTAAACTTCCAGTCTTCTGCCGGAGTCTTTCAACTTAGCCAAGTCTTCTACCGGAGTCTGTCAACTTAGCCAAACATGGGCCAAACGACCTAGTCAAAAAAGACTCGGGGAAACAGTAGCTGGGACTAAACAGTACAAAAAGAGAGAAAGAACTTAGCAAAGCAAACTAGCGCTTATTCTCTTCACCAACATAGGAATTAGTCAGAAAAAAATCCTTCACCTCAAGACAATCAGTCTTCTGAACGCAACTCAAGACTAGGACCAATAAATTTTTGTTTTTATGACATTTTTGCTGAAATATAGGAGTATTTTATACTCACCGAAATCCAGGATAATCCAAGACCTCTTCTCTTCAATAATTTACTATTTTACTGCCAACCCAGATAATGTTCGGATGTAACAACGGTACAGCACCTTCATCTGGAACAAATTGTTTTAATTTTTAAATCCAGCAGGAGACGGCATATATGGGTTTCACCGCCTCTCACACTCTTCCCTTTGTCTTGAAACCAGCATACTAGTGGTATTTGAGAAATTAACGAGAGAATGTGTCCAAGATTTGCATTTGCCGACAAAAACAACATTTTCCAGGTTCAACAACAATATTTGTGCACTTTCAAATTTCAATTTTGACGTGTAATAATGTCATCTATATTGCAAGTGTTAACACTTGAATTCAATTACAGAGTGGAAAAATGAACGAACACTACGTAAATTTACAGTTCAAATTACACCACCTCAAGCCGAGTATCCAACACAGAGGTTGGACTTTCCTTCCTGAACTACACTACGACTTTCCAAGCCAAAACCCAGAAACCCCATCTCACAAAACTACCTACGAGGGGATTGTGGCAACACCCACTTCTGTACTCCTAATTTGCCTTCCCCTCCCAACAAATCTGATCATAAGACACCATGTAACTGTCAGTACGAATGCATGAGCTCTACCTCCTACAAGTCCAACAAGAACAACAATAGCAAGCAGAATCAGATGCACTGAATTTCCCATTCTCTCTTCTTTCTTGCCAGAAATACAAGTCCCACCTTCTTTTAGGCCTTTGTACCTTTCTGCCTTTACTTCTTGCTCTTGTTTTTCACTCTTATTCCTCACTTCCTCTCCAATTTCTTCCACATTCCTACATACTTCTGGCTTTTTCTCATTGATCTCTACCTTTTCATTACTCTTTCTCTCTTTCTTCCCATTCCGCAACCTCTTTGGAACAAATTTCTTGATGAAATTGGATCTTCTGATTTTTCCTATCTGGGTTTGCTCGTTTCTAATCAAAACTTCAATTGTCTCCCCCTTCTCCGAACTCACTTCCGTTTCTGAATCCAAAGGTCTGGATCCCTTTAGAGAACCAGAGATTTCTTCAAAATTAGGTTCCACAATCTGAATTTCCTCAATACAATTACTTTCCAATTCAGTCTCTTCTTGCACCTCCAATTTCTTCGTTGATCTTTCCCATCTCTTCAAAATCAGCAACCCATTTCGGACCCAAGAGTCTAAGAAGCCAAGCCTCGATTCCGGACAAGGTTTCAACAAACAGAGAAAACGCGTACCTACATACTCGACGTACAAAAGCAAGAAGGCGGCGATCATGACTCCCAACGCAACCTTTCTGCTGCCAAGACCAAGCGCCACCACTACGCCAATCTTTAGCACCGCAGTGAAAACACTCCCACCACCGCTCTGGTCACCATCACAACCACCACCATCAACGGCCCCACCACCACCAGCGTTGCATTCATTATCAACTTCAACTACCTCCTCGACCTTTTTGTCTTCTACCACATGATCCGAATTGCACGATCGCCTCGGTGTCGCCGGCGGTGATGAATTCAACGGCGTTGACAGGGAAGTCGGGGTTTGGATCTGGCGACTGTGCTTCCTCTTGGAAGATTTCTTCAAGCGATCGCGGTTCTTGACAAAGAGATCGATGAGAGAGGTGGGAAAACCGGTCTCCACCACGAGGGATCCGCCGCGTTTGGGAGACTGCTGTAGGTCGGCAACCAGGCGGGAAATCCGGGTCACCCGGGGCTTCTTCCATGGCAGAGGCATGGCACAAGGGTAAACGGTAATGGATTCTTGCTCTTGGTTCAAGATGGAAAATGGGATTTCCGAATCCGAAGTGAATTTGAGAGAGAGTTAGAAGAGAATTGACTACATAGCGGAACTTTATAGCCCTAGATCAGAGAAGACAATGGAAAATGTGCAGAAATGATTGTTGGGACGCGTGGGAAGGGAAGACTGTTTCGTAGGAAAGTCGGGGGATATTTTGTTTTTTTTTTTTTCAGCCATTTCGTCGGTATTTTCTTTTCGAAAAAATTCCAATTCTTTCGGATTTTATATTTTTGGGAGGCTATTTTTTTAACAGGATAAGGAAAAAAAACTATTACTAGTTTTTAGATAAATACGAACTG